CTTTTACAAAAATTTTGTATAAAGGCTAGAAACTACATAAAAATAACTTCTACGTTTCATAAAGAGAAAATATAAGTTAGTTACATTGACTCTGCTAAATCCAGACAAAGGGAAAAAAGAAAAATCAGCTCTGTCTGTCTCTTATACAAAAAACACTAGCACAGAGCACAAGGAATAACTGCCTGGGCCTCTCAGATGGGCATTGCATGGTGGCTCCCTTGTAAGGCTAGGAGACCCTGCCAGTCCCCATCCAAAAAAGTACAGGGAAGCTCTGAGGGATCAGGCGGCACTAAGCAGGGAAGCAGCAACTCCTTTAAGGGCAAAAAGGATGTGAAGGAGGCCAGGCGCGGTGGCTCACACCTGTAATACCAGCACTTTGGGAGGCTGAGGCGGGCGGATCCCGAGGTCAAGAGATCGAGACCATCCTGGTCAACATGGTGAAACCCTGTCTCTACTAAAAATACAAAAACTAGCTGTGCGTGGTGGCACGTGCCTGTAGTCCCAACTACTCAGGAGGCTGAGGCAGCAGAATTGCTTGAGCCAGGGAGGCGGAGGTTGTGGTGAGCCGAGATCACGCCATTGCACTCCAGCCTGGGCAACAAGAGCGAAACTCAGTCTCAAAAAGAAAAAGAACATGATGTGAAGGACGAGCCACAAGGGGAATAATGAGACTTTCACCTGAACCATGAAGCTGGCATTTCACCTAATACTTTTTCACACGCGAGACTACAAAAAAAAAAATACTATAAGCAAAGCCCAAAGCAGCCCTGACAGTTCCCAATGCTGACCTGGCCTGCTAGAACTGGGTCTGTGTTCTGCAGTTACACTGCAGCTAGTTCATGTTTCCCCAGCATCTGTGCACCAAAGAGAATAAAAGGAGACGATTGTTTCATTTGTCTCATTTGTGAGAGGCCTAAAAAACGTCCCATCTGGGTCAAATTCTGCAGCAAGCAAGCTAAATGCTCACTAACCTGAGAACCATTGCCTTACCTAGCTCCAAGAGTATCTTTCCTAAGATTTGGGCAGTCCCCTTTTCCTGTTGAAGGGTTGCCCCTCCCTTCCCAAGCATCCAGTTATAACCAATGTTGAGAGAATTTCCAGGAAATTGCTTTAGAAAGACAGAGTACCGGGCGCAGTGGCGCGTGGCTGTAGTCCCAGCTACTTGGGAGGCTGAGGTGGGAGGATCGCTTGAGCCCAGGAGTTCTGGGTTGTAGTGTGCTATGCCGATCGGGTGTCCACACTAAGTTCGGCATCAGTATGGTGACCTCCCGGGAGCGGGGGACCACCAGGTTGCCTAAGGAGGGGTGAACCGGCCCAGGTCAGAAATGGAGTAGGTCAAAACTTCCATGCTGATCAGTAGTGGGATCGTGCCTGTGAATAGCCACTGCACCCCAGCCTGGGCAACACAGCGAGACCCCGACTCAATTTAAAAAAAAAAAAAGAAAGACAGAGTATATAGAACCTTAACCTAGCCGGGCACAGTGGCATGTGCCTGTCATTCCAGCTACTCTTGAGGGTTAAGTGGGGGGAATCACTTGAACCAGGAGTTTGAGACCAGCTTGGGCAACATATGAGAGACCCTTTCTTGCTCCTGATCTCAGGTGAGCCACCATGACCAGCCTAAAAAAAAAAAGAATCATAAACCTGTAGGAGGGAAGGTGGAAAAATTCCTCTCACTCAAATCCTTACCAATTTTTTTTTGTTTGTGTTTTTTAAAAGCAGATATCTTCTTGGAGAAGCCATACATTTTATAGCTATTTCAATGAAACAATTAGAAATCAGGGTGAAAAAAGGTTTTCTTTGTAAATAAACCCACATACTGCTTTCAACATTTGCTTTTATTGAGTTATATACACTGCAGCCATGGGATCAGAATCTGGGGAAGCCAACTGAGAAGCGAAGGCCCAGGGGTCCATCTGAGGTACAGAACCTGTGCTTCTGCCAGGTTCCCGGGGCAGGGGGCATTCCATTTCCCCCTGATGCTTTTTATTCCTGAAGATAAGTCCAAGAGACTGCCAGCCCCGGTCTGAAATGCAAGGTGGGAGTCCTGAACATGGTGGGGCGGGCATGGGGCAGAGGAAACAGCCCTCCTTTTTCACCTGCAGACAGGGTGGGCAAGAGTGCTCTGGAGCAGACGGGGTTGTGGAAGCCTTGTGTGCTGAGGAATTAGTCCCTGAACACAGGAGCCTGTGTGGGGCCAGCATGAGTCGCAGCCTGGCAGTACAGCCTGTGCTTCTCTGTGCCTCTGGTGCCAACACTCGCACACACCACACCAACTGCTCCACCTAACACGCTCAGTGGCACCGGCTCAGGCAGCAAATGTGTTCCAACCCACCTGGGCAGAAGAGGCCAGGCCAGCAGACCAAGTCCTGTGTGTGCGCATGCGTTCACACGCGTGTGCAAGAAGAGGGATGCGAGATGGCATGAAACACCCAAGAAGCAGAACAAATGTTTCAGCCTCCCTCTTTCCCCGGTCCCCACCTCCCACATAGACATGGCTTTATCTTAAGTGGAAAGCAAACTGGGAGCTGGGAGAACACGATGAACGAGGCCATCTCCTGAGCAGCCAACTGCAGGCTGGGCTCCACTGGGAACAGAAATGGCTCAATGATTCCGTGACTCTTCTGGGAATGACTGAAAAACCACCAAGAATTACAGACAGATGAGCCCATGGGGTTTTCATCAGCAGTGCTTTGTGCCCAGAGAGAGCAAAACTGGTATTTTGGCAAACAGAGAAGACTCAAGGTGACAGAACACCCATTCCTCCTGGACCCTGACCCCACCAGCAGCCCCATCCCTTCCAGCTTGAAGGGATCTAGGGCTCAAGGAGAACATACATTAGGGTCAGGTGACACATAGTAACACCTCGCCCTCCACAGGCCAGCAAGAAGTCAGGAACGCCGGGGCAGCTCTGCTGGGCATAGCTGGGGTGGCACAGGGCGAGGGGCTGGATTTGAGCTGGCACAGATGCAAGAGGGAAAAGAGGTCCTGAGTTACATGTTCACAGAGAATGAAGGAGAAGGCCCTGGGCCCTCCCAAGCTGCCAGCCACAGCCCTGGGCGGTTGTTAAGAAGCATCTGCAGAACTGTAGGGGAAGAACTTGGTGGCCTTGCTTGGGGTGGTGGGGTTTGGGCACTCTGCCTCCTCGCTTAGCTTGAAGAACATCTCCTGCTCCCGCTTCTTCTGGTTCAGATCCTCTTCTAGAGCCTAGGGAAGAGAGAGGAGGGTGGTGCTGGGTCAGATCTGCAGGCCACACATGAGTCTCCCATTCACAGGACCCCCACTGACATGGTCTTCTCTGGAAAGTTCCCTCCCTGGCCTCAGTGCTTGGGAAACTAGGTCTTCCCTCTTTCCTACCCTAGAGCTCCTCTCCCAGGAGCTAAGCACACCTCCTGCCACTGCTACTGAGAAGCTCCCTATGGACTGAAGGGTACAGTTGGCGGAAATGCCAATCTAGATGGGGCAGGGAAGAAAAAGGCAGATGCAAATCCCCAGGCAAGAAAACAGCCAAATGACTAGAGAAAAACCCAAGGGAGAAGACGGAGAGAGACGGAGAGAGATTTAGCAGCAAGGAAGCAGAGATGTCAGAGGTTTTTTTCAAAATACACATGCCTTTGCCCAACCCCAGAGGTTCTGATTTTGAAGACTGTGGTGGGACCAAGGGCTTCTGCACTGTACAAACTCTGCAGGTAACTTGGAGGAGAGCTCTAGCTGAAAAGCACTGCGGGAGGTTCCCTTGGGCACAAGCAAGCTTATTTAGACAAGTTGGATCCTACTAGAAAGATTTTTCTTTTCTTTTCGAGACAGAGTCTAGATCTGTGGCCCAGGCTGGACTGCAGTGGCAGTATCTTGGCTCACTGCAACCTCACCCTCCCAGGTTCAAGAGATTCTCCTGCCTCAGCCTCTCCAGTAGCTGGGATTACAGGCACCTGCCACCACACCTGGCTAATTTTTCCATTTTAAGTAGAGATGGGGTTTCACCATGTTGGTCAGGCTGGTCTCAAACTCCTGACCTAGGTGATCTACTCACCTCGGCCTCCCAAAGTGCTGGGATTACAGGCATGAGCCACTGCAGCCGGCCCTGAAAGAGTTTTTAAGGGTTCTCCCATAATAAACATGCAATTAAGAACGGAAGCTAAGTGCAGTGCAAAGAACATGGGCTTGACGGCAATGTCGCCAGAGCTCCAGAATTTTTTTTTTTTTTTGAGGTGGAGTCTCGCTCTGTCTCCCAGGCCGGAGTGTAGTGGTGCAATTTCAGCTCACTGCAAGCTCCACCTCCCTGGTTCAAGCAATTCCCCTGCCTCAGCCTCCCGAGTAGCTGGGATTACAGATGCACGCCACCACACCCCGCTAATTTTTTTTGTATTTTTTTTTTTTTTGAGACGGAGTTTCGCTCTTGTTACCCACGCTGGAGTGCACTGGCGCGCTCTCGGCTCACCGCAACCTCCGCCTCCTGGGTTCAGGCAATTCTTCTGCCTCAGCCTCCTGAGTAGCTGGGATTACAGGCAGGCGCCACCATGCCCAGCTAATTTTTTGTAGTTTTAGTAGAGACGGGGTTTCACCGTGTTGACCAGGATGGTCTCGATCTCTTGACCTGGTGATCCACCCGCCTCGGCCTCCCAAAGTGCTGGGATTACAGGCTTGAGCCACCGCGCCCGGCCCTTTTTTGTATTTTTAATAGAGACAAGATTTTATCATTTGGCAGACTGGTCTTGAACTCATGACCTCAGGCAATCCACTTACCTCGGCCTCTCAAAGTGCTGGGATTATAGGTGTGAGCCACCACACCCAGCCCGGGATTTTCTAAGGAAACTGGAAATCAAGGTTTTAATGTAAAATCTCCTTATATACTTAAATGTGGACATCTTTAAAACAAATTTACAAGCCAGGCGTGGTGGCTCATGCCTGTAATCCCAACACTTTGGGAGGACAAGGCAGGTGGAACACCTGAGGTCAGGAGTTCAAGACCAGCCAGGCCAACATGGTGAAACCCATCTCTACTAAAAATGCAAAAATTAGCCAGGCCTGGTGGTGTGTGCCTGTAATTTCAGCTACTCAAGAGGCTGATGCAGGAAAATCACTCGAGGGGAGGCAGAGGTTGGAGTGAGCTGAGATTGTGCCACTGCACTCCAGCCTGGGTGACAGAGCAAGACTCTGTCTCAAAAAAAAAAAAAAAAAAAAAAAAAAAAAAAAAAAAAAAAGGTACATCATTATGTTGGCCAAACATACCATGTCTGTAAGCCAATTCCAGCACATAGGCTATCAGTTTGGGACCTCAGCTCTAGGAATACCAACAATATAATAATATAGCCTCTGCTTTTTTAGCACAGAGTGGCTTAGTAACTTGGCCAAGGTCTCACAACTAGTTAGGACTTTATCCCACCTGTGTGACTCCGAAGCCTGGGCTGTTTAAGCACTATTCTGTCAACCCACCACATATATTTCTCAGTACAATCTTCTAAGGCCAGAGTCAGTGATCATTTTTCTGTTATGTGACAGAAAGTAAACATTTTTGGCTTTGCAGGACATATTTGGTCTCTGTCGTGACTACTCAACTGCCGCCATAACATAAAATCAGCCATAGACAATCTGTAAATGAACGAGCATGGCTGTGTTCCAATAAAACTTTATTTACAAATATAGGTGGTGGGCCAGATTAGGCCATTGGCGGTAGATTGCTAACACCTACTTTAAGGAAATAAGTATTGTCTACATTTTACAGCCCAAAAAGCCAGGATTCAGGAGGGAATATTTGACTTGTTTGAGGCCACATTCTGTATTAACACTGACCCAAGCAACACTTTATTGACTCTGCCAGATATTTTGTATTTACTTGAGATACATCTGAATTTTTCTAAAAATACTCCACAATGTACAATCATCTCCCCTGCCTCCATACAAGGCAGGGGGTTCACAGGCTACTGACCATAATTCGAGAATGTAAAAGACCATTTATTCTCAAATGAAAATCATCACCTCTGGGTCATTGTTCTAGCAGAAACCCAAGCAGCTAATGACAGAAGAATTCTATAAAGAATTTTGCGAAGAGGCAGCCCCCACAGGCAAAGTCCAATGCCAGCTTCCCAACTGCACACTTTCGGTACCTCCCCTGAACCCAGGCCCCTCTCTGACGCAATGAGACATAAGGCAACAGCTAGAGGCAATGTGATCATTCATTTTCAAACTCTCTCAGGACGTGCCACAGGTATAGATCCCCCAGGTAAGAGAACCAGTTTGAACGTTTCTTTCCGGATTGCAGAACCAACCTATGTCAGCAGGAATATTATTGATTTGAGTATCAAGTGTTGAAAGTCCCAGCAGACCATGGTTACAGAAACTGATGAGCATGGGCCTGGTAACAGGAAGTCTGGGACCCTGGCCAGCTTCCAGCCAGAAAGCTCCATTAGCGCGGGGAGGGAGGCCTCGATTCAAGGACTTCCAAGGCCATTACACAGCTGAGATGGGCAGCTGCCTCCTGTTCAGACCACAGTTCCAGTAAGCAGAACTGATGTAAGATGGCAGAACAAACCTCACAAACCTCAGGACTTCAGGACCCAGGGACATGAGATTAAGGGTATTTTGGGCAGCTCTCTCCTCAGAGAGTTTAGGGGAATGGAAGGGAATGAGTATGTCCTTGGCCTGTACTATGTGCTGGCAACTTTTGGCATAACATTGCAGTCTTGATAGCTTCACCGTACAAACAACCATGCTGAGGTCCCATGTTTTTTGTTTGTTTTTTTTTTTTTTGAGACGGAGTTTCGCTCTTGTTACCCAGGCTGGAGTGCAATGGCGCGATCTCGGCTCACTGCAACCTCCGCCTCCTGGGTTCAGGCAATTCTCCTGCCTCAGCCTCCTGAGTAGCTGGGATTACAGGCATGCGCCACCATGCCCAGCTAATTTTTTGTATTTTTAGTAGAGACGGGGTTTCACCATGCTGACCAGGATGGTCTCGATCTCTTGACCTTGTGATCCACCCGCCTCGGCCTCCCAAAGTGCTGGGATTACAGGCTTGAGCCACCGCACCCGGCCTGTTTTTTTTTTTTTTTTTGAGGCAGAGTCTTGCTTTGTTGCCTAGGCTGGAGTGCAGAGATGCGATCTTGGCTCACTGCAACCTCCGCCTCCCGAGTTCAAGCGATTCTCCTGCTTTAGCCTCCCATGGAGCTGGGATTACAGGTATGTACCACTGTGCCGGGTTAAATTTATGTGTCAACTTGGCAAGGCCATGGTATCCATCTGTTTGGTTAAACACCAGACTAGATATCACTATAAAGGTATTTTCTAGTTGTGATTAACATTTAAATAGGTAAACTCTGAGTATTACCCTTCATCATGAGGGTGGGCCTCTTCAATCAGTTGAAGGCCTTGAGAGAAAAGAAGAAAGAAGGAATTCTGCCTCTAGACAGCAACAACCACTGGGTCTCCAGCCTGCTGACCTGTCCTGCAGATTTCAGACTCCACCCCCACAATTGTGTGAGCCAATTCCTTAAAATAAATAAAGACGAATGCAGGCCTAGAGTGGGGAAGATAGATGGCTTGCCCAACATCCCAAAGCTGATGACCAGCAAGAACATCCAGAGTGCCAGCCAGAGAGGAAACGGACAAATTCCCTCCGCCTCTGATACTATCCTAGTCCAAGCTGCTATACTTTCTCACCAAGGTTATCACGATAGTCTCCTTACTGGTCTCTCTGCTTCCACTCTTGACCCCTGAGCGCAACCAGCGGGATCCTTTTCAAAACATGAGTCAGTGTTGGGCATGGCGGCTCACGCCTGTAATCCCAGCACTTTGGGAGGCTGAGGCGGGCGGATCACGAGGTCAGGAGTTTGAGACCAGCCTGACCAATATGGTGAAACCCCATCTCTACTAAAAATACAAAAATTAGCTGGGTGTGGTGGCTAATGCCTGTAATCCCTGCTACTCTAATGCCTGTAATCCCTGCTACTCGGGAGGCTGAGGCAGGAGAATCACTTGAACCTGGGAGGCAGAGGTTGCAGTGAGCCAGGATTGCACTATTGCACTCCAGCCTGGGTGATAGAACGAGACTCAGTCTCAAACAAAAACAAAAACAAAAATCATGAGTCAGACTACCCTGACGTGCTCAGAGCCCTCCAGTAGCTCCACTATCCCTGACTTTACCTCTTATTACCTCCCACCATCACTGCCGCTCTCTCTGGCTGCGGGGCCTCCTTGTTTCATAAGCAAGGCATCCGGGCCTTTGCGGTTGCTCTTCCCTGTGCTGGGAATGTCCCCCTAAGACCCCCCACAGCTACACAGCTCCCTCCCTCAGGTCCTTCAGATCTTTGCTCAGATGTCATCTTCTTAGACATCATCTTCCTGCCACACTGTCTGAAGCAGCCCAGCTTTGTGACCCTGCATGCCGTTTCCCTCCCTGCTTCTTGGCCTCTCACTAGGAGGTCAGTCCTTCCTGAGAGCATGGACTTGTCCCTTTTGTTCGGTGTAGTGTCTCTAGTGCCTGAAACAGTGTAGGGCACTTAGTAAGTGCTCAAGAAATATGTGTTGCATTAATACACAAATGAATGAATGATCAAGCTAACGACACACAAATGCCATCCCACGTGATAAGCACCATGACAGGGGCAGGGACAGGGAGTTGCTGGAGCCCAGAAGAGACACCCTACAGCCTCCGTGGGGGAGGCCTGAATAATGAAGACAAACAGAAGTTGGCCAAGCAAGGCTGCTGGGTAGAGAATTCCTGGCAAGGGGAAGAGGCTGGGCAAAAGCCCAGCAGGGAACGAGGGAAGTGCATATGGTATGGAGATCTATTTGGGTACTGAAATCTGTTCAGAGCACAAGTGGGGGATGAGACTCACAGGAGATAAGGCAAGAAGAGTGGTTCTCAAAGTGTGGTCCATGAACCCCTAGGGGGCCCAAAACCCTTTCTCAGGGCGGGGGCGGGGCAGCCATATCATGTTTTGATATTCATGCTAATGGTACAAAAGCAATGATGGGTAAAACTTCTGGAGCTTCTGGAGGATTAAGACAATGGCACCAAACTGAATGCGTATTCTTCGCCACTGTGCACCCTCAGTACTTATTTATTTTTATCTTTATTTATTTATTTTTTTGAGATGGAGTTTCACTCTTTCACCCAGGCTGGAGTGAAGTGGCATGATCTGGCTCACTGTAACCTGTGTCCCCCACCGCCCCAGGTTCAAGCAATTCTTCTGCCTCAGCCTCCTGAATGGTTCGGATTACAGGCACCTGCTGCCATGCCTGGCTAAATTTTGTATTTTTAGTAGAGACCGTTCTGCCGTATTGGCCAGGCTGGTCTCCAACTCCTGACCTCAGGTAATCCACCCACCTCAGCCTCCCAAAGTGCTGGGATTACAGGCGTGAGCCGCCAAGCCAGGCCTACTCACAATATTTTAGAAAGTTTTTCAATTAAAACAATAAAGCCAATTGCACTTAAGATCACCTTGATGGTGCAACACAAATGGTTCATTTTATTAAATCCTGACCTTCAAGGTCATGGCCCTTTAATGTCCTGTGTGAGGACAATGGAAATTATGCATAAGGCATGTCTATTGCCCGTCAAAGCATGAAGGCTTTCTAGAGATTTTGTTCTTTGCAATCGTCTTAAGTTGTCAGCTGAACTAGCCGCTTATTTTACAGAATATCATTCTTTTTTTTTTTTTTTAAATAGAGACAGGGTTTTACCATGTTGGCCAGGCTGGTCTTGAACTCCTGACCTCAGGCGATCCACCCGCCTCGGCCTCCCAAAGTGCTGGGATTACAGGCATGAGCACTGCGCCCAGCCTAGAATATCATTTTTATTAAAAAAAATAACTGACAACCAGGGGCATGCATCTACAGTTCCAGCTACTTGGGAGGCTGAGACAGGAGAACTGCTTGAGCCCAGGGCAACATAGCAAGATCCCATTAAAAAAAACAAACAAACAAACAAACAAACAAAAAAACTACAAATGTGAGTATTTAGCAAACACTTTCTTGAAAATGAACAAATTGTGCTGATCACCTCAAGAAAAACAACTAAGGATATTTATTGCTAATGACAAAATTTGAACATTTAAGCAAAAATTAGAACTTTGGAAAACCTGTGTCCACCAGCCTGACTTGACAGCTTCTCAATTTTCTTTTTTTTTTTTTGACAGGGTCTCAATCTGTGACCCAGGCTAGTGCAATTGTGCAATCATGGCTCACTGTAGCCTTGACTTCCTGGCCTCATGTGATCCCCCCATCTCGGGCTCCAGAGTATCTGCGACCACAGCATGTACCACTGTGCCTGGCTAATTTTTGTATTTTGTATTTTTTGCAGAGATGAGATTTCACCATTGTTGCCCAGGCTGGTCTCGAACTCCTGAGCTCACTCCTGTAATCTCAGAACTTTGGGAGTGGTAGCCAGCGCTTGTAATCCCAGCTACTCATAAGGCTGAGGCAGGAGAATCTCTTGAACCTGGGAGGTGGAGGTTGCAGTGAGACAGCGCCACTCCATCTCCAAAAAAAAAAAAAAAATCTGATGGTCTGTCTTGCACTTTGGATGTCACTTTGCCCCAGCCATGATCTTGTAACATCATGCACTGGTCACTTGGACAATATTGGTTTACTGAGTTATGCAGATCTTCCAAAAGTTGACACATTTCATTATACAATATTTTTTAAAAAATTATATCTGCTGGGTATAGTGGCTCATGCTTGTAATCCCAGCACTTTGGAGGCCGAGGCAGGTGGATCACCTGAGGTGAGGAGTTCGAGACCAGCCTGACCCATATGGTGAAACCCTGTCTCTATTAAAATTACAAAAATTAGCAGGGCATGGTGGCAGGTGCCTGTAGTCCCAGTTACTCGGGAGACTGAGGTGGGAGAATTGCTTGAACCCGGGAAGTGGAGGTTGCAATGAGCTGAGATTAAGCCACTGCACTCTAGCCTGGGCATCAGAGCAAGACTCTGTCTCAAAAAAAGAAAAAATTACATCCACCAGGCACAGTGGTGCACACCTGTAGTCCCAGCTACTTAGGAAGCTGAGGCAGGAGAATCACTTGAACCAGGGAGGCAGAGGCTGCATGAGCTGAGATCCCGTGCCTATAATCCTAGCACTTTGAGAGGCCAGCGTGGGTGGATCACTTGATGTCAGGAGTTCAAGACCAGCCTGGCCAACATGGTGAAACCCCATTTCTACTAGAAATAGAAAAACTAGCCGGGCATAGTGGCATGTGCCTGTAATCCCAGCTGCTCAGGAGGCTGAGGCAGGAAAATCATTTGAACCCAGGAGATGGAGGTTGCGGTGAGCCGAGATCGCGCCACTGCACTCCAGCCTCAGGCGACAGAGTGAAACTCTGTCTCTAAATAAAAAATAAAATAAATAAAATAAAGAAATCAACAGATGAGTCAGGAGGGACGTTGCAGAGGGGCCAGTGACAGAGAAGTAACCCAGCACAAGGTGGGCCTAGGAGGACAAGACAGGCAAGGAAGAGAGTGACTGACAGCACTGACTGCCTCCAGGCGGTCAGGTCCAGCAAGTCGTAACCTTGGGAGCTGGCCAGCAGGATGCTGTTACTGACCTTGCCAAGAGCAGCTGCAGTGGGCTGTGAAAGAAATTTCTCAGCGGGCTGAGGAAGAAATTGGGACAGGGTAATGGGCTGCTCAAAATGCTTTGCAAAGAAGGAGAGAGAGTGACAGGGCAGTAAAGAAAGGTGCAGGACTGAGTGACGGCGTGGGTTTTGAAGGTGAAAGTATGGCAGGCACAATTCAAAAATGACCCCTGTGACTCACTCTCGTATACTCCCCACTTGTCTGAGTGTGGGTGGAACCTCTGAATGTAATATCATTCTTGCAAGCAGGGAAGCTATCCCATGAGCCTGATTTAATCACATGAGCCTTTTAAAAGAGTTTTCTCCTGCCGGTCGCGGTGGCTCAAGCCTGTAATCCCAGCACTTTGGGAGGCCGAGGCGGGTGGATCATGAGGTCAAGAGATCGAGACCATCCTGGTCAACATGGTGAAATCCCATCTCTACTAAAAATACAAAACATTAGCTGGGCATGGTGGGGCGTGCCTGTAGTCCCAGCTACTCAGGAGGCTGGGGCAGGAGAATTGCCTGAACCCGGGAGGCGGAGGTTGCGGTGAGCCGAGATCGCGCCATTGCCCTCCAGCCTGGGTAACAAGAGTGAAACTCCGTCTCAAAAAAAAAAAAAAAAAAAAAAAAAAAAAAAAAAAAAAAAAACAAAAAAAAAAAAAAAAAAAAAAAAAAAAAAAAAAAAAGTAAAAGAGTTTTCTCCGGCTGGTGGCAGAAGGGGACATCAGAGACATTCAAAGCATGAGAAGGTCTGAATGCACATTTGCTATTTGCAGGTGGAGGAGGCCACATGATAAGGAATGCCAATGGTCTCTAGAAAAGAAAGTAACCCCTGTCTGAGGCCAGCAAGGAAACAGGGACCTCAGACCTACAGCCACAAGGAACTGGATTCTGTGGAAAGCTGAATGGATTTGGAAGTGATTCTTCCCCAGAAGCTTCAGCTAAGAGCCCAGCCATGCTGACAACTTTGACTGCAGGCTGGTGAGTCCCTGAGCAGAGAAGCCAGGCAAGCCCACCCAGACTCCTGACTGCCATCACTAGGAGACAGTAAACGGATGTTGGTTGAAGCTGCTAAGTATGTGGCAGTTCATGACACAGCAACAGAAAACGAAACGGGCAAGCAGTCCACCTGGTGCTGGGTTCTGACTTCTCAGAATAACCTCCTCTAAGAGAAAACCCCATAGGCTGGGCTTTGGCCTGGCAGCATGGCTGGTTCGACTCACTGGAGCATCCTCTGTGGACACTACATGGCAGGGGTCCTTTGGTCCATGAGAGGGAGCCGAGCAAGAGGATGCCCTCCACGGGTGGAAGCCGCAGGGCATTCATCCACAAAGGGTTAGAAAGTGCCCCTCTCTCTCAGGCTGGAGATCCATTTTATGGTGCGGCAAAGCAAGAGCCCACCAAACTAAGGAGACCTATCATGTTCTGGCCAGAGGCCTGTGCACGGCACGGAGCAGAGTCCGAGACTGAGCCCACCCGCCGGGACACGGTTACCTTCTTGCGCGGCCGAAGCTTGTCCCGCCATTCCTTCAGGTTGTGGTTATGGCTCTCATCCAGGGCCTTCAGCTTCTGGGTTTCATGCTCTACCAGGAGGTGGCATTTTTCATTCTGGAACAAATTCCAGGCAGAACAGGTAAGAAATTAGAAAAAGACACAGGCCCTAAAGACTGAGACACACCTCACGCTGAGGCCACAAGGGCACCAGCATCGCTCATTATTACTTCTTCTTGACTATAAACCCCATTTATTCAAACTCTTTATGTACGTTACATGCACCCAGAGATGCCTGGAGGAATAGTCTAGAATATGTTAACAGTTCTTATTAACTCTATGGTGGGGATGTGTGGTAGATTTGCAATTTTTTTTTTTTTTTTTTTTGAAATGGAGTTTCACTCTTGTTGCCCAGGCTGGAGTGCAATGGCGCGATCTCGGCTCACCGCAACCTCCGCCTCCTGGGTTCAGGCAATTCTCCTGCCTCAGCCTCCTGAGTAGCTGGGACTACAGGCATGCGCCACCATGCCCAGCTGATTTTTTGTACTTTTAGTAGAGACGGGGTTTCACCATGTTGACCAGGATGGTCTCTATCTCTTGACCTCGTGATCCACCCGCCTCGGCCTCCCAAAGTGCTGGGATTACAGGCGTGAGCCACCGCGCCCGGCCCCCCCCACCTTTTTTTTTTTTGAGACTGGATCTCACTCTGTCGCCCAGGCTGGAGTGCAGCGGCACGATCTTGGCTCACTGGAACTTCCACCTCCTGGGCTCAAGCGATTCTCCTGCCTCAGCCTACCGAGTAACTGGGATTACAGGTGCCCACCACCACGCCTGGCTAATTTTTGTATTTTTAGTAGAGATGGGGTTTCACCATCTCTTGGTCAAGCTGCTTTCTAACTCCTGACCTCAAGTGATCCACCTTCCTAGGCCTCCCAAAGTGCTGGGATTACAGGTATGAGCCACTGAGCCTGGCCATTTTGCAACTTTCTTCTTTGCGCTTTTTACATGGTTTGAATGTTTCAAAAAGAACAGATATCATTTTAACAAAACAATAAAACTATTGACAATGTATGCCCTAATCCCACCACACAGAAGCACCACTATGAACATTCTGATTTCTCTCCTGTATCTCTCTGTCCCATGTTGTTCAGCTCACCCTGTGCATGCAGTTCTGAAACCAACCCCTGCCATGTGCTTAACGTTATAATGTAAACATTTCTACGAGGAAGTGATGTTTTTCATAATTATTTTAATGCCTATAGAATATCCCACAGTATGCATTTATCAAATTTACTTAAACATTTCTCTATTTTTGGCCGCTTAGGTTGTTTCTAATTTTCACTATTATAAATCATACTGTGCTAAACATTTGTGCTGTAGACCTAATTGTGTCCCCTTAAAATTCAGGTTGAAGCCTTAACCCCAGATGAGACGGTATTTGGAGATGGGGCCTGTGGGAGATAATTAAGTTTAGATGAGGCCATGAGGGTGGGGTCTCCAGGAACGTATTAGCGCTCTTTTTTTTCTTTCTTTCTTTTTTTTTTTTTGAAATGGAGTCTTACTCTCTTGCCCAGGCTGGAGTGCAATGGCGAGATCTCTGCTCACCGCAACCTCTGCCTTCCAGGTTCAAGTGATTCTCCTGCCTCAGCCTCCTGAGTAGCTGAGATTACAGGCATGCGCCACCATGCCCAGGTAATTTTTGTAGTTTTAGTAGAGACAGTGTTTCACCACGATGGCCAGGCTGGTCTCGAACTCCTGACCTTGTGATCCGCCCATCTCAGCCTCCCAAAGTGCTGCTGGGATTACAGGTGTGAGCCACTGTGCCAGGCCTGGATTAGTGCTCTTATAAGAAGAGACAACACAGAGCTTTCCTAGTTTGAGTGCTCTCATATACTATCGGCCATGTGAGGATACAGTAAGAAGGCAGCTGTCTATAAGCCAGGAAGGGAGCCCTCACCAGAACCCAGCTATGCTGGCGCCCTGATCTTGGACCTACAGCCTCCAGAACTGTGAGAAAGAAGTTTCTGTTGTTTAAAGCACTGTGGTACTTCGTGCTGGCAGCCTGAGCTAAGGTACTTTGTGTTTCACATATAATTTCCTCAGGGGGATCTGTGGTGAGGAATGAGGGTCACTGACATGATACTCTTCCAACCTCAGTGTTCTTTCTCAGAGTTAAGTTATCTTCTTTATAAAATGTAAATCTCTCTCAGAGGCAGAAGTGACAAGTCCCTGTTGATTTCTTGCAAGGTATCAGTCTTGTCATGGGGAGCTTATAAAGCAAGTGGAAAGTGCCTTTTTTTAATCTTTTTTTTTTTTAGACGAGGTTTCACCATGTTGGTCAGGCTGGTCTCAAACTCCTGACCTCAGGTAATCCACCTGCCTCGGCCTCCCAAAGTGCTGAGATTACAGGCGTGAGCCACCATGCCCGGCCTGGAAAGTGCCTTTATCCAGATACCACCACCCTATTGGGGTTGGAAAATCGGAGATTTTCATTTTGGGTTGCATGCTAGAGGCTTGCAGGAGTTTAGAGCTTGGCTGAGTGAGAAGTAATAATCGCAGCAGCGCTGAGTTCCCGTGGCCTGCCCGGAGCTGTGCTCGGCACTTCAGATGGGCTCTCAGTGCTCACAGAAACCCGAGGCAGGGATAGGACAACAGATGCGGAAGGTGAGTGGCTTAGCCAAAAGTCACACAGTGGTAATCAGCAGACCCCTGCCGGGCAGGCCTCAACACCTGGAAGGTCTCCTCCACGCCTCCCTGCCTCTCCAGAAACTGCTCGATGGGTCCAACAGTCCCTGCAATTTCCTGAGGTTCGAGTCGGGCCCAATCCCCACAAGGGGGCTTGAAGTACCAGCTCCTGGGGCTAGGAAACTTGAAGAGGTCAGGAATTATGGCAGGAAAGCAACCCACAAGGGGTTCGGCCACACCCCGACCGCCTTTGCCCAAAACAGCGATGACTCAGAAGCCCTGCCGCAGCCTACTGCCAGCTCCAGCATCACTGCAGTCACAAGTCCTCGCCCTAATCCTGCACGGCAGGAATGGGCATCCCCACCCCACACCCGTTTTAGAGGTGTGAGAGCTATGGCTTGGGAGGGCGCTGTGATTTGCCCAACCTCACACAGCCCGAGAGCAGCATGGCAGGATTGCAACCCGCCCACCCTGGGCTTGGCTGACTAAGATCCTTCCCTGCTGTGGAGTTTCTGGCCCCCTGAGAGCTGATGGCCTTGGGGAAACCAAGGCAGCTGGGGGCAGGGACAGGCAGGGTGGTACCTGCAGCTGCTGCAGCTCGCTCATGTTGCTCTCACACTGTGCCAGCATGTCCCGCATCTGATTCTCGTGTTTCTGCTGTTGCTGCAGCCGCTCCGACTTCTGCCTCTTCTCTTCCTGCTGGGAGAACTGCACCAGAGAGAGGGTGGGTGCCTCAGGGGGCCAGGGCCTGGCTGGTTGGGTAGGGAGCCCACCTCAGCCCTGGCCCAGGGAGGCCCTTCAGGGGACTGGTCTGTGCCCAGTCCCAGTACCCAGCACCACCTCAGGCAGTGCCCGTGTTAAGTGCCTGCTCTCAAGGAGCTCCCAGGATGGTGGGGACGTGACATTGTAATGTTACACATGCCAGGAAAGTGTGTGTGCCAGGCAGAAATCACAGGGCCCATGTGCCCGAGCCACACGGCAACACAGGATGTGGGGAAGATGCCCAGGTAAAAGCATGGGAGTGTGGAAGGGAACAGCACAGGAGAATCTGCAGCACAGCACCACACTCCCACCTCTGTCTACACACAGGTGAATTCCCCATGAGGCTGATGAAGCTTCCAGGGCACACCTGGTGACTCACACAACCCCCCCACCCCAAGACCTTATGGTGGGAGGGTCAAGGTGTATCTTTCTTTTTTTTTTGAGATGGGGTCTTGCTCTGTCACCCAGGCTGGAGTGCAGTGGTGCGACCTTGGCTCGCTGCAGCCTCCCAAGCAATTCTCCTGCCTCAGCCTCCTAAGTAGCTAGGATTACAGGCATGTGCCATCACACCGGCTAATCTTTGTATTTAGTAGAGACAGGGCTTCACTATGTTGGCCGGGATGGTCTCGAACTCCTGACCCGAGGTGATCTGCCCGTCTTGGCCTCCCAAAGTGCTGGGATTACAGGATTGAGCCACCATGTGTGGCCTTTTTATTTTGAGACAGAGTCTCGCTCTGTTGCCCGGCTGGAGTGCAGTGGCGAGATCTCAGCTCTCCGCCTCCCAGGCTCAAGCGATCCTCCCACCTCAGCCTTCCAAGTAGCCAGCATGCCTGGCTAATTATTTTTAAAATTATTTTCTGTAGAAATGGGGTTTTGCTATATTGCTCAGGCTGGTCTCAAACTCCTGGGCTCAAGCGACCCACCTGCCTTGGCCTCTCAAAGTGTTGAGATTAAAGGCGTGAGCCACCACACCCAGCCTGTATCTTTTTTCATATTCTCCCAAATCGTATAAAGCCCAGGCCCGGCCAAACCTGGCTGTGCCTGCACCCCAGCACACCCGCAGACCCGCACACTGGCTCCCACCTGCTTGATCTTCTCACGCTGCTCAGCCGCGCTGCCTGCGCCATTGATGTGAAGGCTCTTCTTGTACATGGCCATGCGCGTCTTGCCCTCACTCCTCTGAATCTTGGGCAGCCGCGCCTTTTCCTGCTGCTGCCGCACCTTCAGTTGCTCTATCATGCGCTGGTTGTAGCGCTGCATCTGCTCCCGCTCCTGGGGAGGAACATCGCAGGGCGAGGTGGGGGTGGGGGGAGGGGGGGCGGTGCGGCACTGAGGTCAGTTGCAAAGGCCCCCACACTCCATTCAGAGGCCCAGGACTAACTCAGCCCACAATGTTCAGCAATGCAAGGCTTGTTATTTTACTTCTACTGCTATTAACTTTTTTTTCCTTCTGACTTTAAAAATTCTTGTTAATATTTTAGATTCTTACCTTCTAAATGCCTTCTCATCTTATCAATGATGGCATGCCATCATGACCTAGTATCTCAAAGCAAAATGTACACTAAAAGGGATAGTTCATCATTAGTGATGCAGATGTGAATTTATATTGTAAAAAAAACTTGATACGTTTAAATTTTTTTCCCTCCCCTAACACCTATTTGTATTTCAAAGCTCAGCATGGGCATTACCTCCTCCAAGAAGCCTTCCCTGATTTCCTCGCCTGGTTGGGTAGCCTTATTCTGAACTCCCATGGCCCTATGCTGACTCCTGTCTCTGCACTCAGATAAGAAACTGGAATTATCCACAGCTGCTGTGCATCCAGACCTTGGCCTGTCTGTCACTGTCCCACTATGGAGGCTGAACTGAGACAGACAATTCCCACAGGAGAGGGTGCTTGGCCACACAGAGCAGGGCTCTCACCTGGGGAGTTCAGGGAAGGCTTCCCAGTAGAGGTGGTGTTTAAGTGCAGACCTAAAAGTATTCTGAGGGGATGCAAAAGAAAGAGAGAAACAAAGAGGAAATGGAAAGGGAAGACAAGGAGGGAAAAGAGAAAAAAGAGCTAAGGCAGACACACCCTGGGCGGGTGTGGTGGCTCATGCCTGTAATCCCAGCACTTTGGGAGGCCAAGGCGGGCAGATCACTTGAGGTCAGGAGTTCGAGACCAGCCTGGCCAACAAGATAAAAGCCTGACTCTACTAAAAATTACAAAAATTAGCCGGGTGTGGTGGCAAGCCCCTCTAATCCCAGCTACTTGTGAGGCTGACGCAGGAGAATCACTTGAATCCGGGAGATGGAGGTTTCAGTGAACCAAGATTGTGCCACTGCACTCCAGCCTGAGTGACGGAGTGAGACTCTGCCTCAAAAAAAAAAAAAAAAAAAGGTCCAGGCACGGTGGCCCACGCCTGTAATCCCAGCACTTTGGGAAGCCGAGGTGGGTGGATCACGAGGTCAAGAGATCGAGACCATCCTGGTCAACATGGTGAAACCTCGTCTCTACTAAAAATACAAAACATTAGCTGGGCATGGTGGCACGTGCCTGTAATCCCAGCTACTCAGGAGGCTGAGGCAGGAGAATTGCCTGAACCCAGGAGGCGGAGGTTGCGGTGAGCCGAGATCGCGCCATTGCACTCCAGCCTGGGTAACAAGAGCGAAACTCCGTCTCAAAAAAAAAAAAAAAAGAAAAGAAAAGGAAAGAAAAAAAATCACAGCAAGTAACAAGAGTCAGCGAGGGAGCTGCTTGGGCCATCGCATGGTCTTCCCTACTCCCAGTCCCTTGAGCTGAAGCAGGACACCCCTGGAGAACTTCCTGGGGCCTCACTGCAGCCAGCCCTAGCTCCTCTTGGGGGCACAGATGGTACCCACGAGGTGCCCCATCATGCACAGCTTCATAGCTCTCCCGGGTCGGCCCGGCAGCAGACCCGAGCCCCGAGCCGCTGGCAACCTCACCTTCTCATGCTTGCGCAGCAGCTCATGCCGCTGGAGGAAGTACTGGTCTTTGAGCTGCTGCTTCACCAGCTGGTGCCTCTCCTGCAGCTGGTGCTCCTCCATCTCCCAGAGGGCCGCTTCCCGGTCTGCGGAGGACATGCCAACCACCTGGTGAGGTGCTGACAGCCGGAGACTTGACAGGCCCTTGGCCCCACCCTTCTGTCTGGCCTCCTCACGCCGGAGCCGACAACCAACCTGCTGGGCTCAGGAATCGCCACGTGTGCTACCTCATCAGACCATGTTGGCTGATCTGAGCTGAGGCCTAGAAACTTCCTGTAAGCCTAAGGAATGATAGCTCCCAGCAGCATGGTATAGCAGGAAGTGTTCAAAGTCAGGAGCCAGAGAAACTGCAGATATAGGCTGGAACCCAGCTCCACCAGTGGGATTAGGAATGGAGAGGTTCTCTAGGCATCAGCTGCCATCTCTGTCAAATGGACACAGCTATACCATGGAGGGAGGAGCATCCTTGGGAGACACTTTTAAGTGCAATCCACACTGCATCTCTGCTTTCCTGAAGGGCAAATGGGAAGGACTCAGATGGAGACCCCCATGAAGAAGACACAATGGCCTCTTGTCATTATTTCCTCCTCTGAAAAATGGGTGAAATCCTCCTTGTCCCCTGCATCTCCCATGCATGCGTTATGGTGACAATGATATCTGGCGTCTTATCACTGGAGGTCAATTAATCGACTCTTATGCACAGCACCTGGGTGGAGACCTGGGGTCAAAGGGAGAATCTCACGCCCTTTGAGACAGGAGATTATGCTTCGTTCACTTCGAATGTTGTTTATTTCACTGCATTCCTGTTCTGTGCAAAACGCTGTCTGCTTTTGGTATATCAGAATCGTGATTTTGGCTTCCACACCAAAATCAGAACCATAGTTCTGTAAATAGGGCGGTTCTTACCAACATCATGGACTAAGAAAAGGAAGTGAAGGCTTTTCTCAGACAACTGTGCTCTATGCAGAATATTGAAAACGTAAGGATCCCATTTTTGCTGATCCACACCAAATAATAAGAGGTGTATGTTGCCTAACCGCACTGGTCATCAAGGGCCTGGATGAGGCCTGTTTTATAAATGGCCCTGGGATATTGGCCTTATGTTGTTTACTTCCTCACAGCAGGCCCAGACCATCAAAAGTCCACAGGCACCAAACTCAAATTTGTACACATCCCCTTGTTATTTTTAAAACATAATATGGGGGCCGGGCGTGGTGGCTCACGCCTGTAATCCAAGCACTTTGGAGGCCAAGGCGGGCAGATCACCTGAGGTCGGGAGTTCAAGACCAGCCTGACCAACATGGTGAAACCCCATCTTTA